CTTTTGTTGCCAGTTCAGTGGGTCCAGGTGGTTGAGTGTCAGAGTGTTCCATCTCATTTCCCTTTGGGGTTGCTGTAGGTGATCTGGAAGTCTGGTTTTGAGAGTTATTTATGTGTCTTCTCATTTCGACCTGGGTGGGTGGGTGGGGATGGTGTTGGCACTTGCCCGGCTCACCTCCTCTGAGCTGGGAGAGGTGGGACAGCAGCTCAGAAGCCCCTTCCTCTGGGCCGGGAACAGCAGGACGGTTGGAGGCCTGGAAGCCCCTTCCTCTGGGCTGGGATCAGCGGGACAGACAGCGGCTGGGAAGCCCCTTCCTATAAGCCAGAAGTGGTGGGACAGTGGCTCAGAAGCCCCTTCCTCTGGGCCGGGAGTGGCGGGATGGACAGCCCCTCTCTTTCTAATTAACCGGAGTGGCTTCATAAACTAGTTTAATGGTAATGTGTCTGTAATCACTTATGCATTATTTTAATATAGACTTTCTGAATCACTGATTTTGTTTTATTTTTATGAATGAAAAGAAATAACTTTTCAAGGCAACAGAGAATTGCTTATTATACATCTTCTAAAATTACAAACATTAATTTGAAATTATTTTCCATGGTGACCAGTTGGCATAAATAGCCTTTAGAGATTGAATGTTATGTGCCACAGATGAAACAATGCACTTTTGTTTTTGTACCGTAGATTGAACTCAGGACCTTGTGCTTTCGAGGCAGGCAGTGGCAACACTGAGCTAAATCCCTATCCCTGAAACAATACACTTTTGAAGTCTAGACTCAAAAGCTCTGGGCATGTTTTAATAGGCAATATTCAAGGAATTGTGTGTGTGTATGCTTGTGTGTATGTGTGTGTGTGTAATTACTAAGTACACATCAAGATTTTATGTTGGTAAATGTTTTGTAGTCTCTAACTATATCTAAGATTTTCCTTTTTAATGGCTTTACTGTTTAGAATTTAATTTTGTTTTTTTCTTTTATGTCCACTGATCATGCTTTCCTCCCGCCTGCCAGTCCAGTATTTTCCTTTTGACCAACCACAGTTAAGAAGGCTGGAATCCAAGGGGCAGAACTCTGAGACCTGTGCCAGCATAAGCAGTAATGAGGGAGAAAAAGGCATACAAAACAAAAAGGAGAAAACTAGAATATTGACAAGAAGAATACGGGACATGAAATATTCTGCACTGACAATGACATTGGAAATACTAAACTTCTGACTCCAGTTTCTCAGTGCATAAAGTGGAAAGGAAAATGCTTTCTCTATGGTCAGATTGATCCTCAACTTTTTATAACGAAAATGATGTATAGTTGCTAAATATCACCATTTGTGTTTAAATACTTTTCAATGCAAATGTTTTTCTTTTACAGGAAACTGTCACATTCAAGGCTAGTTCAGCTTTATGGGGTGTGTATACAGCAGAAACCCCTTTATATTGTGACAGAGTTCATGGAGAATGGCTGCCTGCTCACCTATCTCAGGGAGAGAAAAGGAAAGCTTAGAAAGGAGGTGCTACTGAGTGTGTGCCAGGATATATGTGAAGGAATGGAATATCTGGAGAGGAACTGCTATATTCATAGAGATTTAGTAAGTATGGTGCACATTAACTTGTTATTCTACATAGTATATCTGTATTTGGAAGGATATGACAATTCTATACTTGGAAGAATATATCCGTTGGCTTAATTTTTAGACATTTTCCTATCCCTGCAATTCTTTTGTAAGATGTAACTTTATTTTAAATTGCCCATTGATGCTATGACTATTGTAGATACTCCTCGAAATAAGTAACCACCTAACCAATTAACTAAAACTGGTTTACTTTCCTTCTCTTCTCTCCTTTCTTCCTTCCCTTTCTTCTTTCCTTCCACCTCTCTAGCATCAATCAGACAGGTACCAAGTGCCTAGAATAAGCTAAGCACTCTGCTAGGCACTGGAGACAGAGCAGTGTTAGACATATTCCTGTGTTTCTTACCCAGGACTGAAATTGGCACTGCACACAAGTGCTTTAGTTCTGACAGTACTGCAAGAGCATTACTGGCTTTATGGAGAAGACTAGAAATATTAAATCATCCTGTTCTGCAATGCTTGGAACATCCCTGTTTAAAAATGGCTGTCTATGATCCCCAGTACCAAAAAAAAAAAAAAAAAAATGGCTGTCTTGCACCAAACCAGATGCTAATACCGCTGCTTCCCTGTCTTACTATCTCTCCTTACTATCTCTCCTTATGTGTTCTGTCCATTCCGCATTTATTCAGGATATTAAATACTATTGCTCTGCAACTGTCTGTGTATTATTTGTAAATTTAAAAATTGATTCAAATGAGGATTTGAGGATACTTTAAGAAATCCCTGATGCTGTCACCTGGGAGTAATCTTGGGTTTCTGTTATACATGACCCAGAGAGAGCATACTGCAGTATTTGTCATTCAGACCAGAATATTTTGGAAGGAGAAAGGAAGCAGTTACATGGAAACACCTTGGGGAGTATGCGTATATGACCCATGATTTCGAATTCCCATGGTGTTTATTATTCCTCTAATAGTTTATACTCTAAATGAATACTGGATTCTATATGGCTGAGACTTCTGAGATGGAGCACAGTGTGACAAAAACACAGGTTGCAGAACAAAGGTTCTCAAACTTCAAACTTTGCTGTGCATTAGAATCACTTGGGAGCTTTGAGAAAAATTACCACACCCAGGCCACACCACAGACCAATTAAATCAGAATATCTGGAGATGGAAGCAAGGTATCAATATATTTTGAAAATTGCCTGGTGAATTCCATAGGCAAGGAGGTTGAGAACCACTTTTCTGGAGTTGGACTGACTGGGTTAAGATCTTGCCTCTGTTTTTCACTAGCTGTTGTGGCCCTGGGCAAGCCAGCTAATCAGTAAAATAGTACTAACTCTAGCATCTCCCTCCTGTGGGTTTGTTGGGAAGGACCACATGAGTTGCTGTATAATTTGTGTAAGCACTTGAAACCATGCCTGGTCGGTAGGAGAGCTCTGCCGTGCTAACTATTGTCATTTCGGAGCCAGATCATCAGGTTTCATCCCTCAGGGCACATTCCCCAGTATCCAGTGCACAGGAGCTATTGAACACAGTTTTGAATGGATGGATATAGTATTGATTCCACCTAGCTCACTTTCCTGGTCTCTGACAGTTTGTCTTTCCTAATAAAAATTATAATTCAAAACCCAGTTGTGTAACAATTCTATTGGCTTCTGGTGGCTTCTCTCAGATCCTTCTACTCCTGGTTTCTTCCTTGATCGCTCCTTTTCTTTGTGTTCTATTTCATTTACCTTCATGCCAAGTGAAATATATCAAATGACAAATGAGTCTTTTTCCTGTCAAGAACCTTTCTTGTGGGGTGGCTTTGAGATCATTGCTAGTACTTGCTGGTGTTTTTGGAACAGGTTCCTTCTGGCTTACCATTTCAAGTTTTTTGTTTTTGTTACTGGATCCACTGAACAACAAATTCACTGGGAAGAGAAAAATTCTATCAAACAGTTCACCTGTAGGAGGCTAAATAACCAAATCAATGCTTTTCTTGACTAAGTTGCTGAAAATAGATTGTTTTGGCATCAAATATATTGCCCCTGCATTAGATAGTACTACACTTGGTTTGCTGTGGTAATTTTAAGAAATATGAAGTTATCACTATCACTTATATTCCAAGAAATGCAAGTTTAACAAATATAATTATTTAATTTATATTATTTGCTGGAGATCCCAATGGTATGAAATGACTGTGCTCTGCCTGTCATATATACTGACAATGCCTTAACTGTCATGTATGTTATCTTGGTTTGTTTAAGATAAGTAAATTAAAGTATAGACTAGGGCCAGGGATGTAGCTCAGTGGTTCTGGCACCTGTCTTACAAGCAGAAGGACCTGAGTTCAATCCCTGGTACCAAAAAAAAAAAAAAGTATAGACTATTTTATGCCATGAGTAATAGTTTATCATCTGTTAGATTGAATTCATCCCCATTTTTATCAAAGATATTTCTTGAGGAAGACTAAATATCTTTAAAAGTAAAAGTGTTGACATTTTTGTTATATTGAATAACTATTAAAATTCATCTCATAAGAGCAGGCTATTAAATCACTGATAGCTATCACCACCCAAACAATGAGGCTGTCTACACAGAGGTAATATGAGGCTCAAATAAACTAGCGAAAATGGGAGTAGAAACTCTTGAAGGAAAAACTTGTAGTCTCATTTGGATTGTTTTTTTTTCTTACTATAGGCAGCAAGAAACTGTTTGGTTAGTTCTACATGTATAGTAAAAATTTCAGACTTTGGAATGACAAGGTATGTGATTGTATATTTATATATCTACATATGTATGTTTTATTTACTCATGAGAAGAAATCTTACATGTGTCTACTGACAAAGTAAAGATACTATTGGCTCCGCTTTTTTATACTCAGGAAGTTTTGGTGAGGTTGACCCAGTGTGGATTTCAGCACATGTACCAATTTTAGCAGTGAGGTACCTATTTACTGTTGCCTATTCTTTTTATCTTCTCTCAGGTCATTATTAATAAAACTATGGTAGCCCTTAAAATATGTGTAAGATTAAGAAAACCAGTTTTCTCATAAGTGTATATTTTTGAAAGAAAAAGAAAAAACCAGATTTTTCTAGGTCATCATCAAACACTTCTATTATCAAGTTTTATAGTTTGCTTTAAGGCTACAACTGAAGAGTGTGAGAAATCTAACCATCTGTTTCTACAACTCAATAGAACCATCTGTTTCTGCAGCTCACAGTTTACATTTTGAGCCCATGTTTCTTGGATGCTAGAAATTTAACAGAAGTAGATTCAGGATTTCTCCCTGACTTTCCTTAGCTTCAAAGTCCCATTCCTAGGGACTTTGTTCCTAGGTCCCATCCTAAGTCCCATCCTAAGTCCCATCTTCTAGGCCTGTGTCCTGGAAAGGCAGTAGCTTGTCTGGCCCTGCTGTTGTCTATGCACCATGGCATCTTTGCAGCCACTATCCTGTCTTGGTTGGGTCTAGTCAGTCACACAAAGTGGCTGCAATTCATCTGGATGATTCCTTCAGAACTGGCATTCTCTGTGATTAGAAAACTCAGTGGGGCGAAGGGCATGCTTACCTAGGCACATCCACAGCCATTTGTTCTTTGGAATCTTTCTGCCTTTCCTGGGCCTCTACCTGGAAAGAGATATGTGTCTGGTTTTGATTTTAAGTCCCATCCAACCTCATGTGGGACTGGGAGGTTTTTCCCCTGGTAAGTTTCCCAGACAGCCTTTAAGGATACAATGTACTGGGCCCTAACTTAGCAACCCTACAATGCCTAATACTCCTCCCCTGTCCTTTCTGTTTTCTCATTCCTCCTAACTCAAGGGACCTTTGTCCAAATGGTTGGGTGGTAGTGGTAAGATTTCACTCTTATTCGTGACCCATTTTCCCAAATACCTTGTTAATAACTCAGTCCTTTTCTCAAAACTCTAGATTTTAGAATCAAATCTATGGAAAAGAACTTTCCTCCTTTGTTTTCTATTATTTTTTTCCCCATTAAGTTTATTGGTACATTTTAGGTATAAAATACAGTTATATTCATCATTGGGATCTTGGACCATTACATGAGTCTCTTGGTTCTTATTTTTTTTCCCCTTCCCTTGCCCTCCCTTCACCCCCTCCACCCTTACCTATTTGCAAAGACCTTGTTTCCATTTTTTTCCTTTTCTCATATTTTTTCCTTTCCCTTCTTTCCCTTCCCCTACCCCTCCCAATTCCCCTGCTCCTTTAGACCTTTTCTTCCTGTTACACAATATCAGTTATACATTTTTAAAATTACAATATTAAGATCTAGGAGACATTACC